AGTATTTGATAGACGGTGTTTTCATGAGAGGGGCAGGTGGGGAAAGGACACATTCAACAGATACCTGTCCTGTTTGGGGAGCGAGTGTACCCCTGTATGAATGAGCATTCACGACATGAGCATGGCCATGTTAAGGACACCAATGCTCCAGACCACTTTTTCCTCAGAATGACTTCATCCTGAGACTGCTCTCTACAGAGACCCCACTGACATTAGCTAACATCCCCCTGCCTCTGCCATCTATATATAATAAACACAATGAATTTCCCAAATGATGCTGTATCTCCATGAGAGTTCACAGCCCACCCAATCCCAGCTTTCCTGCATGTGTGTCTATCATTTCTTCATTCTCTATCATCTGAGTGAGGTCAGTCTGCAGGAGACGTGGATAGAGGCCAATTGCAAGGCCCTCGGTCCTGTGGCTCTCTGTGGAGTGATCCAGGTTGGTCTCCTGTCTGCCTGGCACAGAGTTCATTACCACACAGGACGGGGTAGGAAGAGCTGGCTCATGACAGCACGTCACAGCAACCCTATAAACCCTCACCAGCCCACTTCACAGAGGGAAAACTGAGGCATAGGGAGGTTGAATAACTTGACCAAGTTAATCATTTGTAGTCCCTGAGTCTGGGTCCCCTCTTCCCAACAACACTACATGGACAGTGGCACCCAGTCTAGCATCCTCAATGGGGAAGGCGCCGGAAGCCACCAGGGGCTCCCTCAAGACTGCTGACCAAGATCTGTGCTGTCAGGGCAGCCAGCAGGACACTCTGGCGCCCTGAATTTAGTGAGATCCACACCCTTTTCGAGGAAGGTGAACACACCCAGAATAATCGTGGAGCCAACAGACAGCTGAGGCCTTATGTAGCCTGGAGGTCCCAGGAAAGATGAGGTTCTGCAACGTGCCGCTGAGCCCAGGTGAGCTCTAGTCACCATTTCTGCCAAGGTTTTTTTTTTTTTTTTTTTTTTGGCTGCTGTTGTCATTATTGTTTCTTTGGGGGGAGGGGGAGCCGTGGGACATCTCAAGGACAAAGCCTGTGCAAGTTAGGGATGAGTTTTCGTCTGGCACAGTGAGGACTCCTAGCCACTCCCTCCCTTGGTGCCATGATGGTTTACTGCCCTTTTTCATTTCACTGGAGAAGAAGCCTGATTGGAATGTTCTGGAAACTGAAGCTTGAAGGGATGGGAGGCAGGGGAGGGGGAACCTCTTCTGCCCGGCGGCAGGCTGAACTTAGGCCCTGGCAGGGGTGCTGGGTAGAGTTGTAGGAGATGCTGCTCAGTGCATGATGGGCACTGAGAACTCTGTTTGCTTAAGCAAAGCAACCCCAAGTAGGTGCCAAATGATGGTGATACTGGCTGTCATTGCTGACAGCCAGGAACTGTGGCTTCAGAAGCACCCAGCTCTGCCTGGGCTGGAGGGTAGGCCAATTAATCTTGGGTTTAGGCACTGAATGTCTGCATCAAGGGAAACCCCTAAGTCCTGGGCAAACCGGAAGGCTGTTTGTTGGTCCCCTAGGTGGTGGGCTATTTGGTATTTCTCCCTCTCACCTTATGTACAAAGAGCAGGGCACGTGGCTCACTGATGGTATCACTCTGTGGTGAATAAGCAGCATCCCAGCTCTCTCGTTAGCAGGTACCACCACTGTACAGCTCTGTTGGAGGACTTCAATGTCAAGTGTCACTTCTGTGGTCCTCTTCAGATCCTGCTGCTGTTCAGCAATCTCCTCCTTCTCACCCTGCCATTGACGCAGGAGGGTCTAGTGTCCCCAGCAGGTCCCCCTCAGCACCCTCCTCAGCTTCCACTGCAGGACTGGATCCAAGCAAGGGTCCATCCAGGGTCATGGGAGGCCCGAGACCCTCAATACTCAGGACAGGGCTGTCCCTCCCCAAGAGAGCTTTATACCCAGCTAGAGCAACTTGGCAGGACAGAGCTTTTCTGGAAAAGCTTGTATGAGCTTCTTCAGAGATATGGTTCCTTAACCCTTTCTGTGCCATGGGCTTCTCAGACATCTGGTGAAGCCTGCAGTCTCTGCTCAGAATGATTTATAAGAATGCATTATGAGGCTGCGTATGGTGATCTTTAATACCAGCACTCCATATACAGAACAGATGGATCTCTGGGAGTTCAATAGAGACTAACCTGGGCTGCATAGAGAGACCCAGCTGCCTTAACAAACAAGCAAAACAGTGCATTATGATGTGGCTGTCAGAAGAGGGCTTTCCTACCCAGTAGAAGACCTTGATGCATAACCCATGAGTGATGTCCTATACCTGTAATCTTAGCACTTGGGAGGTGGACAAAGGAAAATCAGAAGTTCAAGGCCAGCCTGGGCTACATTATATTCTGTCTCGAAAATGAACAAACAAAAACCGTATCATTTTGTTTTGCATTCTGACAAAATTTATGCAACGAAAAGAGTTTAAAATGCAAGTCACCAAAGTCTTCAAAAAGCAAATTCATGGCATCGTGATATATTTATTTCTTTATCAGCACACTAACTAATGGGGCTTGAGAGATGGCTCAGTGGGTGAAACCCTGCTGCACAAGTGTGAGGTCCTGAATTCAGATCCCTGGGATTCATATAAGACTGGATGCAGTGGCAAGCATCTGTAATTCCAGATTCCTGCCACGAGAGAGGAGGAGACAGGAGGGTCACCAGGGCCAGCTAGAACCCCTAGGGCCAGCTAGCCTGGCATACAGAGCATCATAGAGATCTTGTCTCAAGTAAGGCAGAAGGCGGGGACCAACATCTGAAGTTGTGGTATGTGTGTGCTTGCACACCACACACACACAAACACACACACACACACACACACACACACACACACACACACAATTTTTTTAAAATGAGGTTTAGGATTGAGGATGCGGCTTGCCTAGCAACTGAGATGCTCTGAGTTCCATTCCAAACACTACAAAAACCAAGCAAACAGATATAGCAGTAAGCCCAAGACGACTTTCAGAATGTTGGTAGCTCAGGTCTCAGGATATTTACAGCACCGATCATATGGGTGTATCTGATTTCTGTGGGCGACAGAATCACAAGGATTTCATTCAGAGGCAAAGGAAATGCTGACTAGCATTCAAAAGACCAGCGACCATGAAAAGTGGAACTTAGGCCCATCCCAGTGTCACAGCCCCTCAGAGTTCTATTCTCAGTCCACGTGGGAGCCAAGAGCCCCCCACTTCAAGGCAAAGGGTTCCTGATTCTTCGGGGTGGATAAGGAAAACATTGAAGGCTATGAGATCTAAGAGTTCAGAACAGTGGCCAGGTAGGGTTGGGTTCAGAGGAGAAAGACTGCCAGAAGGGACCGTCAGAGCTCAGAGGTGTGTCCATCTCAGGGAGCAAGGAGCTGGGAGTGAGGGAAGGCAACGTGACTAACCCTGAAACACAGCAGTAACATCAGAGGCACAGCACCACCCTAGGGCAAGCTACTGTCTTCTGTCACAAAGAACACCAAGGCATTGTCCCCGTAAGACAGGGTACCTACCCACAAGCTCACACAAACAGGTAAGACAAATACACAAGTTAGTAACAAGACAGCAGGGCAGCGAAAAGAAAAAAAAAATGTGGCTGGACAGATCTAGAACATACCACATATCTGGTTAAGAGCTGGCGATGTAAGCCACAGGCATTCAAGGGTGGGGTCCCTCCTTTATGAAGTTTGTGGTGAGGACCAAAGGCCAGCAGCTTGGAAGGCTGCTTAGAGCATGCTTTGAGACGGTGGTGACTGCTCAGGTCTCAGTGACCTTCTCTATAAAGTGAGGATAATACTTAAGTAGGCACCTGCTGTATGCTAATGCTTGCAGTGGGTGCAGGAGACGCTTGGAAATTGCAGGAGACACTGACTTTAGGGCGGTGGATGTGAAGACATCTGAATGAATGAATGAATGAATGAATGAATGAATAGATGGATGGATGGATGGATGGATGGATGGATGGATGGATGGATAAGTACATTCTCTAAATACTTGCTTCTCCACATTGCAGCAAGGGAGTTGGGAGAATAGACGAATAGACCCCCCAGTTGTGGGCTCTGCTACATCATCGCAGCCTGTGAGAATGTGGTGGTGGGAGGTGGTTAGTCAGGGCTTAGGACTGGCATGCTGGGAGGCTCATCAGTTTCTCTTCCCCCTCTTACCTGGCGTCCCTGAATCTCGTTTTGCCTGTGGACCAGCGGGCTCCAAGCCTGCGGGTAGAGGCGGGTGAGGAGCCCTGGATCTGCCTAATGGGGGACGGGAGGGCGACCTAGGCCGCCGGAGGCTGGAGTTGGCATGCATGTATCTTCGCACGCTATGGTTGCCAGACCTTTGCAGGACACAGTCACTCGCAGGCGTGAGAATCTAGGGCAGGGAAATTTGGGGCGCGGAGGGAGGGCGGGCGGGAAGTCAAGCCCCTTGGCAGACTTGGTGGGAGAGGGCTCCCCCGGAGGGGAAGTGAGCGGATCCAGATCGCCCGCCTCTTTAACAGGCTGCTGCTCCCGGGTCTGCCGCGCTCCCCGCTGCAGTTTCGTATGCAGACTGCATTAGATTTACCTGAACCCCGCGAGGCCTGCAGCGCCGCACGCAGGCGAGGGCTTTCCGGGCCATTGCTGGGCGGAGCCTGAGCTGCAGCAGTCGCCTGGCGCCTCGCAGACAAGTGGCGCAGCTTGTGGGTGGGCGGAGTTCAAGGGGTTGTGGGCGTGGCCGGGGCTGCAGGGCCTGGGAGCAGCGTCTCAGCGGGTGAAATCGCTGCATTGGGTGGAGGGGGCGTGGTCTATGCCCGCAGAGGGCGGTCCAGGCAAGGGGGCAGGGCCTCCGCCTATAGAGGGCGGGCCAGGGAGGGGCGTGGCCTTTGCCTGCAGAGGACTGCCAGGCAGGGGGTGTGGTCTGTGTCTGCAGAGGGCGGGCCCTGGGGGCGTGGTCTGTGCCTGCAGAGGGCGGGGCCCGTCGCAGAGGGGGCAGCGCCGGCGGAGAGTCCTCTGCGCGCCGCTACTGCGGCCGGTCCACAGCAGCTCTGACAGTCGCGGCGCAGGCACCGAGCCCCTCGCCAGCCCCACGCAGTCACAGCGACCTCCGGCTCGTCCCGCTCTCTCTTCCGGCGCTGCGGAGCTGCATCTGGCGTGTACCTGGCACCACCCCGGCCGCGCTGGAGCCCGCGCCCGCCCTGGCCCGGCCACGCCGGGAACCCGGCCCCGAGCTGGAGCCCCATCTGGAGCCACGGGCCCGGGGCCCTGAGCCGCGCAGCCGGCGCATGGTCAACTCGCTGCTGTTCGGGGAGATGGCCTTGGCTTTCGGCTGCCCGCCGGGGGGCGGAGGCTGTGCAGGCGGTGGCGGTGGTGGTGGGGCCGGGCCGGGGCCCTCGCCTGTAACGGCGGCACTGCGGGACGATCTGGGCTCCAACATCCACCTCCTCAAGGGGCTCAACGTGCGCTTCCGCTGCTTCTTGGCCAAAGTGCACGAGCTGGAGCGGCGCAACCGGCTCCTGGAGAAGCAGCTGGAGCAGCAGCAAAGCGAGCGCGAGCGGCGGCTGCGCTACAAGACCTTCTCCCGCGAGCAGGCCGTGCAGACCGGGCCCGAACTGCTGCGGCCGCCGGCTGCGGGCGGCGGGCAGGCCCTCGGCGCGGCCACCGGCGTCAACGCCAACGCGGTGGCCCTGAGCGGCCTGCCCCCCGGCGGCGGCTCGCACCCGCAGCACTACGGTCGCCTGCCCGGGACCATATGGAGCTACACGCAGGTGCGGCGCACGGGCGGCGGCGGCGTGGAGACAGTGCAGGGCCCCGGCGTGTCGTGGGTACACCCGGACGGCGTGGGTGTGCAGATAGACACCATCACGCCAGAGATCCGCGCACTCTACAACGTGCTGGCCAAGGTGAAGCGCGAGCGTGACGAGTACAAACGGAGGTGAGTGGATGCGCCCCTCCTCCGTCGCTCCTGGGACAGGGCAGCAGGGCCTGGCAGGTGGGCTACGAGCTGCGGGGAGGAGGACTCGGTCATCTGAATCCATGAACACAGGGCCCTGCGCAGGATACCTGGGCGCCGACCCTCGGGGCCAGGCACATTGTTTCCCAGGGACGTAATAACCAGCGGACTTGTGGTGATCTCATTCTGTCCACATGACAATGCGGTGTGAGGCAGTCTTGTCCCCATATTGCAGACGAGGAAACTGAGGTGAAGAGGTACTAAGTGACTTGCCCAAGGCGCCTTGGCTAATCCGTGGTGAAAGTCAAGATTTGATCCATTGATGGGAGTCCTGGCTGGTGTGTCTCCCAGGCTAGGTATTTACCCAGAGATGTTGGTGGTATAGATTCCCTTCCCATAGCAGGTGTAAAGAAAAACTCTCAACTAGCACATTGTCATTTTTTTTTTTTTTTGTCCTTGAATTTAATGAGCTCATGTGAGAAGATGGATGGATCTGTCTGTCCCCAGGGCCCCAGGGTTGGATGTTTTGTTCCAGGTCTGTAAGGCCCAGATCCCTGGGCTGCAGAATCAGAACCAGCCACCGGCCTTTAAGAAAATTCATCCTTTTCTTCACATTCTTCCAAGTCTCCAAGATTATTGAGGTCCCCCAGGGGAGAGGTGCCCATGGGTTAGACTATTGGGTGGACCCAGATCATGGGTCCAGCTGGAGGTCAGGGGCAGACTGCCTGCAAGATGGTCAGTGTGCTCCCTGAAGTCCAGATTCCCTGATTGCAATACTGGCACTGCTTTCTTCCTGCAGCCTGGCTAACAATACTGTCTGCTCAGCTTTCTGACACAGGGAGGGAGAGAGAAAGAGGGTCTGTGTGTGTGGTTCTCAGGTCTGCGTGGGGGAGGGGCCCTCTGGTCTTAGGCTCCCATCTCAGGCGTGTGTAACTCTGCTTTCCTGACTCTTAGGGGAGTGGGGCCATTCCTTCCGTTCCTACAGTCTCCCTGGAAGCTGGGCCTGGGTCTCCTTTCTTACCTGCTGCTGAATGTCTACTGACTGGGAAGAAGTCCGGGGCTAGCTCCCATCACCTGCAGGGGAGGGAGATTGTCAGGTACTTGGAAGCCTGTGCACTTCTCAGGGAAATGGAAATAGAAAACTCCAGCCAGTGCTCCAGGGTAGTGTGGGATGAGGCTCTTGTTGGAAGGTGTGAAATAATCAAGTAGATGTCATTACCTGTGATAAGCAGAGTGTAGACATGCCTGGAGTCCCTGTTGTACATGCAGGGCCTGGCTTACTGGGGGATGCTTTTCTCTCTGGCCTTAGGAATGTCCTGTGCTGTTCATAGTGGGGGCACCCTCTGCCCTTGGTGGTCATTCCCATCAGGGCGGTCTAGGGAAAGAGACGGTTGCCTTCGATGGTGAAACTGGAGGAGGAGGGTTGGGCTGGTCCTCCTGTCTGCCACCCTGGGCAGTGTAGCCATGACACAGGCTTGCGCTGTATTTGTTTAATTGTGTGTGTGCTTTTTGGCCCTGGCTGCTAAGGTGACGGAAAGACTGTGCCCAGGCTTAGAGGGAGATGGGCTGGCATTGAGCAATGAGCTGTTCAGGTTGCACCCAGGGTGTGGGGTGTGATGTCAGCTTCTGGCACTGTCCTGGAATGAGCCAGCCCTGCTGAGACAGGTGAGGTGTAGGCATCTTTCTTCCCGCCTTTCTGGGAGGCTCAGGTACACCTTCCTTTCTTTTCTTCATTGTCAGATGAATTGCAAAGACCTGTCTTCTCCGAAGTTGATTCAAAGCTTTGGAGTTTTCCAAAGTGAATATTCTGCCTTGCTCAGGCCTCGGTTTCCCTACCTGTCAAGCAAGGTGGTTGGCCAACAGCTGTGCTCCTTGAATCCCTGGGCTTCCTTGGTGATGCTTTGGGGAAAGCTCCTTGGGTAGTTAATAAAAATACAGCAAGGGCCTGTGAGATGGCTCAGCAGGTAGAGGCGCTTGCTGCCAAGCCTGACGACCATAGTTCAATCCATGGGACCCACATGGTGAATGGAGAGAGCCTACTCCTGCAAATTGTTCTCTGACCTCCACACATTTGCACAGGCATGTATGCCCACACAGTACACACAGATACACATAAATAACTGTGTTAAAAACCCAAATACATCTAGCCGGGCGGTGATGGCGCAGGCTTTCAGTCCCAGCACTAAGGAGGCAGAGGCAGGCGGATCTCTGTGAATTTGAGGCCAGCCTGGTCTACAGAGAGAGAGATCCAGGACACGTTCCAAAGCTACACAGAGAAACCCTGTCTCGAAAAATCAAAGTGCTCTTGCTTTACATTGATGTCAATGTACCTGATTCCACCAGCATGCGAATTTTTTCTAAGATTTATTTATTTATGTTTAGTGAGTGTGTGGATGAGTGTCTTACCTGCATGTATATGTGGGCATCCCGTGCATGTCTGGTGCCGGTGAAAAGAGGAGTAATTCCCTGGAAGTGGAGTTACAGGCGGTTGTGAGCTGCCATGCGGGTGCTGGGAACTGAATCCAGGTCCTTTACAAGAGCAGCCAGTGCTCCTAGCCGCTGAGCCATCTCTCCAGCCCAGCATGCTCACTTTTTAATGGTTGGCTTCAAGTTAAAGCCTCTTTCTTTGGAGAATATCGCGAGCTGACTAAGCAGGCTGCTTACACAGTTTCTGATAGTAACGGCGTACCCAAGTGTGACAAGATACTTTTGATTTTCTGCTAATAGCCCCCCTCCCCCATCTGAACCTAGAATTTAGTCTCAGCACTCGGGAGGCAGAGGCAAATAGATCTCTGTGAGTTTGAGGCCAGCCTGTTCTACACAAAGAGTTCCAGGACAGCCAAGGCTACACAGAGAAACTCTGCCTCGAAAAATCAAAAGCCAAATCAAAAAACAACCCAAAACCTCTGGGCTACGTGATCTGAGAGTGGGTGCCCAAGCTTGTCAGTATGTGAATCTGCATCTGTGCTGGGGTTGGAACTCCACGACAGATCACTTGCCCAGAGTGCAGGGGAAAATGGATTGCAATAAGTGAATGTATCTGAGTTGCCAGCCTATCTCTGGTACTTTGACTATTAAGAGGTCACAGTCTAGGAGATGAGACCACGGTGTTTGCCTGTCTGGTCTGTAGACTGCCAAAGGCATCATATAGCATCCTGGGGTGTCTAGTGTGGAAACCCAGTGTTGAGCACCAGAGAGGTCCTGGCTGGAGAGGGGAAGACCTCAGTGTTCTCTGGCACAAATCCGGAGGACTTCAGAGGCTCCTGCTCTAGTTGTTAAATGGAATAGCCATTTTTTTTTTTTTTTTAAGCTGCAGGCCTTTGTGGTTCCTCCTCATGACTGGTTTCTTTTCACCTGCACCTGTAGTTTCCTGGTTGGCTGAGGTAGAATTGGTCCATCTTAAAGCCACCCAATTTAAGTACAGCAATGATTTTTTTTTAAAAGAAAATTTGAAGCAGTGTACCCATCTCCAGGGTCTAGTTTTAGAACATTTGAATCAACCCCCCCCCTCCAGATTCTTTCCTGTCTATTTGCAATCAACTCCCCAACCTGCTTGGTGTCTCTGCCTATATACTTTTTTCTGGATGACTCAGAAACGAGATCTCACGATGTGTAGTCTTCCGAATCTGGCTTCTTTCATATAGATGGTGTTTTAGGAGTTCTTCATGTTGTACTTGCATATATCTGTAGAGCATCCCTCATCATTGCTAAATCACATACACGGAGGGGTAGACCCTGTTCGTCCGTCCCTTCACCTTACATAGTCTTGTGTTCCAAGCTTTAAGTCACCTGAGTGCTGTGTGACGTGGTGTACCATCAGCAGTACTAACCCAAAGCAGAGCTTCTGGCCCTGGCCCCTCCTCACCCCCCTACCCCCACCCCTGCTCCCCCACCCTGCTCTTCTCTGGTTTCCCTTCAGCCCAACCTGCTCTTTACCGAGTAGGAAGTGTGGTCACCGAGACTGTATAGAGGGCAAAGTTGTGAAGCGTTGATCTGGAAACCAAAACAAACACTTCTTTCTGTCACCACCCTGTGCCACCAAGATCTCTTGTTCTGAGTTTGCGAGTTGGGGGCTTTCCCCGGGGAGAATCCTGGCAAATTATCTGAACTTTAAATGCATGTGTTTTCTGAACTGGCCTCCAAGAGACCCCGACTCCCTTGGGTGGTCCCTGGGTCTGTGTCATGGCTGATCTTTTTGTCTTCTCAGAGACTTTGTGTTTATTGTGCCTCCTGTGTTCTGGGCATTCTGTTTCCTGTCTCTACTTCGGATGACCAGGATCCATACCATGGCGTGTTTCCATGGTTCCTCCTCTTGTTTACAGGAGGAGGCTGCATTACTTTGTGGCTGTCAAGAAGTTTTGTGTAGGTCCCACTGGCTGCATCAGGGAAGTTGTCACGGCTGTTCCAGGAAGTTACAATTACTGGCAGAGGCAGCCAGCTGCGCGCGGGGCGGGGTGACTCTCTACTGTCCCAAGTCCAAAGCCCCCGTAGCCTGGTAGGCCTGGTGTGATTAAAGGGTGACTAGCTTTCTCCCCTCGATGCTGTGGACAGGCAGGGTCTATGTGCTCCTGGCTGGCTTTGTCCTTGGTGTCTGGGGAGAGTGGAGGGCTGTTGGAGGGTCTGAGGTTGTGTTGTCTTTTGTCTTGGTGGATTTCAAGCGGGCTCTTCAGATCCCTGGAACCCATGGGTGGTTCTGGGCACAGTGGGAGGCTGAGCCCCTGGAATTTGACACATCCAACCACGGGCTCCTTTTCCGTGATTCTAAAGGATAGTCTGTGTGGAGACAGGCTCGATTTTGACAAAAGAAAATGAAATCACCAATTCAGCTGTGTATTTTCATGTCAGAGGTGGGGAAACTGAGGCCTGGGGAGGCTTGCCATCCACAGGTGGCTTTGGGCAGCTCTTCTAAGTGTCGCTTACTCTCAGCCTAACTCTGATGTGATGCCCACATCTGCCTCCAGCAGGGGCTTCTCAAAGGCTTT